TGCCTGCCGCAGGGTTTTCTTTCTGGGGGTCGTTTTCTTTGGAAACTTTCGAGCAGGCACTTGCTGGCTATGGGCACTCCTGGTCTGCAGGTACCTGCTCCTCGACCTCACCTGGGTTCTGGGGGCACTGGACAGGCTCTGTGTGCTCCCACCCATTCGCCTTCCCACCCCCTCTCCTGCCTGGTGCTGACAAGGGGGAATCCTGGGCCTTTCTGTGCTGAAGCACTGGGATGTGACTGTGTCCCCCGCTCAAGCTACCAGCACTGCCTGCTCAGGGGTGAGGATGTGGGAACAGGAAAGGAATAGCGGCCATGCCGTTTCGGGTTGAGCATTTGACATTTCTGAGGTCGTTCTCTAGGCTGCTGGGCAGGTCTGTCCTGGCTGAGGTGGTGTGGAAGTGGCTGCTGCTCTGCTGGTGCCTCTGGTTGCATCTGAGCAGCAGCCGCTGGGTGGGTTTGGAGCAGAGGGTCTCGGCCACCCTAGGGTGAGTGTCACCTCTCCTGCTGGCTGAGCCCACAGCAGGTGACATCTCTTCCTGCCTGCTGTCACAAAGCTCTAATTGTCTCCACCATAATTAACAAATATTTGTGGCCCAGCAAAGCTTGGCTTGGAGTCCAGATAACTCCCTGAGGGGCACAGGCTGCTGCCTGCTCTGTGAGTCCGTGAGCACGTGTCCTGCTGGAGCCGGGATCCTGGAGCTGCTGTGTGCTTTGCTTCTCTGGGTCTGGCTGGGGGCAAAGTGGGACCTGGGAACTGTGTTAATTGAGCCAAAGAGCAAACTGACTCATTGCAGAGTATCCTGAAGATAAATCAGAACCTAAAGCAAGCTCAAAATAAGGAAAAGCATTTTTAAAGTGCTCCAAACTTTGAGCACAGAGCTCTTCTGAACCCAGGGGTTTTTTTCCTCAAATAAGTGCAGTAAGTAAAAACGGGACTTGTTCTAAAGCTACAAACACATCCTGGCAGCTTCCAAGCCCTGGCTGTCTCTGCCTGTGCTGGCAGTGGCTTTCCCCATCCCAGCTGCTGTCACTGAGGGCAGTCACTGGGCTACTTGGGCCATAAAACTGAACTTTGCTCACTGCATTTAATACTTGAAAATCTCTCTGAGGTTTCCTTTGGTCTTTGATTTTTATTTCATGTCTTCCTCTGTTTTTTTTGTCTCTTGAGAAACATTGTCTGTTCTAAGAGCTCACTAAAAATCACCCCCCACACACACACTCCCCAAATGCTTTTCTGCTTGGTACCATGACCCCTCCTGCCCCACATCTGGTAGCCCTCTTCTACAAGAGGGTTTCTGACAGCCAGCACAGCAGCACTGATGCTAGTCTGACTTTCTGCTCTCCCTCCTGGACCCACAGCATCAGCTTCAGCCCCAGCAGCTCCAACCTCTCCTCAGCTGTGAGCCCTGAGCCCAGGAGGAGAAGGTGGCAGGGAGCAGGTGTGAGCTGGGGGAAGAAGGGGGAGGATGGAGACACGAAGGACGGGGCTGCTGCCTTGTGTCTGCAGAAAAGCCAATAATTAGTTTACTGGGAGTGCCCCGATATACACTACTGTAGCCTGAGTAGATGATTTATTTGTGTGTATTGGAGAGCAGGAGAGGCCACGAGAGGCAGGGGATTGTCCATCTGAGGCTCAGTGATTGCCATGCCCAAGGGGTGACCCTATGGATGCCTGGTGGGTTGGGGACTGGTGTGTGCTGGTGGGGCCATGCCCCCTGGTGGGGCTGTACCCATGATGGCTGCTTGGGTCAAATCTGTGTCTGCTGCATCTGACCATCCTGGCAGGACCAAAGGGAACGGTACCTGCCCAGCCCCAAGGCAGCTCCTGCTGGAACAGGACAAGCTCCTGGCTGCAGGGCTGGGCTGGGCTCCAGAGGAGCCACATGGGATTTTAAATTGGATCTGGGCCTTGCTAATCTCTTTAGTTTGTTTCTCATGGAGACTGTGAGCCCTGCGCGGGCAGCCCAGCCCCAGCGCTGCTGTTTCTGCAGCGGGGGAAAGGCAGAGCCAGGGCTTGTCCTTGCAAGGTGAGGGACCTGGGGAGGGCACTGGGGGTGTCCCATGTATTTATACATGCTTCTTTGGATTGAATGTCTGGTGTTCCTGCCTTGGGCTGCCTCACCTCATGTCTGCCTTAATTGTACAGGAGATTTCCTTCTTTTATTTTTCAGTCTGCAGAATTCTTCGAAATGCTGGAAAAAATGCAGGTGAGCAGCAGGGTACGTGCCAGTAATGTGGGATGTCTGCCCCCCAAGACAGCCTGGCAGAGAGGCTGCCAGGACAGGGACCTCCTCAGCCTCTCCCCCAGTGATGTGCTGGGGGACCTGGTTGGGCTGTGCCGTGGTTTGGATTGGTGCTACAGCCCCTGGGAGCCCTGCCGGGGGTCCCGGCCTGTGCTGCCCCACTGCTGCCCCCCGGGAGAGCTGCAGGGCAGGGGGTGCTCCCCCACCGTGGGGAGGCAGCCCAGGGGTTCCCTTTAAGAACCCATCTCATAGAAATTAGGCTGAATCTGGAGTGGGAGATGGGGCAGTTTGTGTTTGGTGCCGTGTCCCAGGTCCTGTCCTACCATGTCCCTGTCACCTGCGTTCACTGTGTCCTGGCACGCTGGCAGCTCTGCCTGGCTCCTTCCTGCCAGAGACCCCCTCCCTTCATGTCACCTGTGTCACAGTGATTTCTATGTCACAAAATACCCTTGTGTTGTCATCTGTGTTTTTGAAAACATCTTAATTATTCAATCTATTCATTTTGTTCTGAACAGGCACCGAAACTTGAAGAGCAGAGGACTGGAAGCCAAAAAAATAAGGTTGGTTGAACTTTGTTTCTGTTGCAGATTTCTTCGAGTGTCCCCCTTCACCTCAGAGCTTTGATGTGTGTTGTCAAAGGCAGTTACTCAAAGGGCTAAGAAAGATTTAAATGTTGTCTAAAAACAAGGTGCTGAGTAAATTGCAAAGATGAAAGAGCAGTGCCTGTAAATCCCTAATCCAGCTTGATGTCCAAACCTGGGTGTTTCCACGGCGAGCCGTGCGAGGTGGCTGCGGAGCTGCCGCTGCAGTCCTGGCGCTGGGGCAGCGGCTGCGTGTGCCGGGCTGTGCGTTTCGGGGGTGGGTAGTGGGGAGCAGTTGGTCACGTGCAGTGTTTCCATTCCTTTTTCCAGGAAGACTACATCCCATACCCCAGCATCGATGAGGTGGGTGCCCCGAGCCTCCCCAGACGCCCTCCCACGAATGCCTTGCCAAAAGTGGCACTAAGAGGGGAGCTGGTGGCGAGCCAGGTTCCGAGAGGAGCCGCACTGAGCACACTGCCCCTCCCCACCTTTGGGGCTGCTGCTTTTCCTCGGTAGCATGTGCCCCCTTCTAGGGGAGAGATGGTTCCAAAGAGGAGCTGGATTTCCCTATGGGACTGGGGGCTGCTGTGGGAGGAGGCAGTGGGGGGGCAGGACATGGTGTGACAGGCCCCTGCACCCCTCATCACCCCCTGGTCCTGCCCAAGCCCTCACAGGTGCCCATCTCTGCAGATCCTAGAGAAGGGCAGCCCATACCCGCTGATCATCCTGCCCCAGTTTGGGGGGTACTGGATTGAAGACCCGGAGAACCTCGGCACGCCCACCTCATCTGACAGCAGCTTCTGTGAGGAGGAGGAGGAGAACCTCAGCCCCAGCACCTTCGGCTACAAGCTGGAGTGCAAGGGAGAGGCCAGAGCCTATAGGAAGCATTTCCTGGGGAAGGTGAGTTCCCCTGCTGCAGGGGGCAATCGGTTGGCTAAAAGTTGCCCCCCTGTCCTGAGGAAAAAAAAATAATAATTCTAAAATTGGAACAAAATGGGCAAGTTTTGAAACTTTCCTCTTTGCAAGGTGGGGTGGAGACTGGTGGGTGTCCAGCTGTGGCAGTGACAGCCACACACACAGGGTGGGTACAGTGGCTCCCAGGCCACCCCCTTGGCAGGGACCTGGGGCTCAGTTGGGTGGGGGGGACACAGCACAGTCAGTCCTGTAATCCTCTTGCTCCCTCTGAACAGAGCTGGGAGCAGAGAACTAAAGTCTATGGGCAGAGGGATTAAAACCCAGGTCCCCAGGAGGAGGGGCACAGAGGGTGTTGGGGTGGCAGGCGGGGTCACTGCTCCCAGCTGGGAGGCAGGCAGTGACCTTTGAGCTGCCTCCCCTGCCACTGACCTGCTGTTTTCTATTTTTAGGATCATTTAAATTTTTATTGTACAGCCAGCAGCCTAGGAAATCTGATCCTTTCTATAAAGTGTGAGGAGGCAGATGGCACTGAATATTTAAGGATTATACTCAGGTATGGAAAAAAAAAAAAAGAAGACCTTTGTTTAACAAAATGTTCTCTCTTTGGGAGTCCCCTGTTTTGTTTCTCCTGTAAACGCTGGAGCAGCTCACTGGCTGTCACACATGGGGGGCTTGGGCTGGGGTGGAAGGCAGCAGAATCATCCTTTTGTTCTTTCTGCACTGGGACTTCCTGACCCCTGGTAATGAGCACGAGCCTTTGACCCGTTGCTAAACCAGCTGAAACTGAGCATAAACCTCTCCGTGACACAGGATAATCCCAGCCACATCTATCCCCATTCCCTGTAAGCTGACAGCACCCAATGTGGTGGAACCATTGTGTCATTTTTCTCATATAAATATTTTAAGAGCTGCAGAGATGAGAAGACTGAGCCTTTGCTTACTAAACAGGCCCAACAAATTCAGCAGAGCATTGTTCCCAGCCAGCAGAGCATCGCTGCATGGGCGCAGGGCTGTGAGCAGGGGCTGTGGTCGGTGCCACTTTGCCTTAGATACTCCCCAACATCTGCTTGTTTCTCTTTCTTTGTTAGGTCCAAGGTGAAGACACTACATGAAAGGATTCCCCTGGCAGGATTCAGCAAGCTTCCGAGCATCCCCCAGATTGCAAAGGTAAAATTCTAGGCTGGGCTGAGATACCTGCCACAAAGCTTGTGCCTTGGGTGGTGCTGGGCATGTTGGGCAGTGATGGGCAGCAGTGCCCGGGCTCTTGAGCCCAGGGGTGCCTGAGGTGTGTGCTGGCCCCACAGTTGGCTCTCTGCTGATTCTGAGAAGGTCACTGGTTGATGTCCGGGGGAAAAGGTGAGGGAGTGGCAGCACCTTTGATCCATGGAGAGTCTTGGGACTTGTCTGGCTGCATCTTTAGTCAGTACCAGCCAGGCCACAGGCATCCCAATGGGAGGATGCAAAGAGGGGAGCTCCTGCAGGGGAAGGCTGGATTTAGCTCCTTTATAAGACGTTCTCATCCCTGCCATGGAGTTTCTGCAGGACAGGAGTGTCTGCCCTGTGTGCCCAGCACTGACTTCTCTTTTCTTGCACCAGGCCTTCTGTGACGATGCCTCTGGGCTGAAGTTTAACCCGGTGCTGTACCCCAAGGTGAGGCAACCTATCTCAACCTAGTCGCATATTTGGCAGAAAAGGTCAGAATGGGTTAATACTCCCTTTTTCTCCAAGATCCCAGGGCTACTTTAATCCAGAGCACGGATCTGCATCAGTACTGCATCTGTTTGGCTCTCTGCCTCTGTACCTGTCTGCCAAGGGGATGTGAGCTGCAGTGGCTGTGGGTGCCATGTGTGCTCCTGGGCAGTGCGTTAGCTAACAGCCATCTGATGGCACATGCAGGCCATCATCTCCATCTGTCAGCTGGCCACCAAGGATTGATGGCACTTTGGCATTAATATTCCCTCAGATAGTGGAGAGGGAGGGGAAGGCTGTAAAACCGGCCTGGACCTTGATTTGGTGCCTTGAGGTTTGTTTGAAACCCAGTGAGGGTGGTGTAGCAGGTGCTGGAGAAGCCAGTCAGAAAGGGATGTGGAGGCAGGTGGGTGACCACAGGGATGGAGTCCTCTATCTGGGCAGCAGTCCCCCTGGTGACAGACCAGGGCTGACTCGTGTTCTGCTCTGGGATTGCTGCTTCTGTGCTGCCATAGAGACTGGCTCCCAGGAAGTTACAGAGCACATCCATCATTTTCAAGTACCTTTACTGCGGCAGTCACAGCAGCAGGGCACCAGGCAGTTTCACCACCCTTTGATGTAACCAAGGTCAAACCGAGTCTGTTTGTCCCTTGTCATTATTGGTGTCGCAATCAAACCTCTGGGAGTTTGAGAGCAGCTGATGCCCAGCTAGAGACAATGAACGTCTCTGACTCGTTCCCTGCAGAGCAGGACTGGGACTGCAGGGCTGGGGCACTGCAGGAACTGCTGTTATTTGCACCCAAAGGGCCTCAAATGTCTCTGGAAAACCTGCGAGAAGCCAGGGCTCCCCGTGCCCCCATCACACCGGGCAGAAGGGCTGGTGGGCAATGGCAAACACACCAAGAGGGGCTGTGAGCAGGGTTTTCCCTTTTTTTTAAGTACTAAATGGAATAACTTGTATTTTGTTTTATTGCAGGCATCCCAGATGATAGTGTCTTATGATGAACATGAGGTCAACAACACGTTCAAGTTCGGAGTGATCTATCAGAAGTTCCGGCAGGTGGGTCCCCCTGCCCTTCTCGTGGAGCCCTGCTCTGCCTTTCACAAATGCAGATTCTGCCCTGCAGCTGATTCTGTCACATGCAACACGTGTTATGGGTGTCCTCACTAATAATGCATTTCTTACTGCTCAGATGTTTCCCCAACTCATTAGAAAATGAGGCTACTGAAAAAATGCAGAATGGAAATCAACCCACGGGCTGCTGTATGAAAAAGGGGATGTGAAAATGGGTTTTAGCAAACATGGTATTTAAATCAGAGATATGTTTAGGCAGTGAAACAGTTAGGTTTGTCTTGGGGGACTGTGGGCTATGAGGATGTGTTTACTGAAATTGCTGTCATTAGCCAGGGGACTCCGGATGGGGAGCGTGGAGGCAGCCGAGTCTCATAACTCACCAAAGACTATTCTGACAGGCGCTCTAATTATATGTACATGTTGCATTTTATTTTGGATTGAGCAACTCAGGCAAGACCATAATTAAGGATGGGTTCATTTCTCATGTGGCAGCTCTTGCTGGTAGCAAGGTTTGATTTTAAGAAGACACTCAGAGCAGGGTGAGGTGCAGAAGGTGAAGGGACCCTTCACGTTAGAGCTACCTGTGGTGTCTGTGGTCCCTGTGTCAGCCCAGCCCATAGCAGCACCAGGAAATCCCCAGGGGCACAGGGCTGTGCTAGTGTGTGGTGGCTGCTGGGAACGGTGGCTTTGGTCTCGCTCTGCTCAGGCAGCACAGGGGTGACAGATGGCCAGTGACAGCCATGGCCAGACCCTTCTCAGATGGGCTGGCCCCTGGAAACAGCAGGGCTGGGGCTCTCAAAGAATGTGCCCTGTGTGTTGCAGACCCAAGAGGAGGAGTTGTTTGGCAACAATGAGGAGAGTGCTGCCTTCAAGAACTTCCTAAGTTTTCTAGGAGACACTATAACACTCCAGGACTTCAAAGGGTAAGTTAAATAAGAAGAATGATTTTACAAACACATTTAGCAAGAGACTATGTCATATGTAAAAATATCTACTGTGCGAGAACAGGAGTCATCTCGCTTATGAGCGGGATGTACAGAGCAGAAGCAAATATAGCTTTGGCTTGTTTGTCAAAGCTGGGGGAGTTCTCTGAAGAAGAATATTGGAGCTGCCAAGAGAGAAAAACTTCCTTTCCTGCAATTTTAAGGTTGTAAGAAAATTTGGCTGTGTTCAGCTGTGGGTGAAAGGAACTTGGGATGGGAACATGTCCTGTCCAGTGTTGTGGGCTCAGCCATGGTGTCCTCCATGGTGCCATTGCTGCAGGCAGAGACCCTGTGGCTGGCAAGGGCCAGGGGCTGGCAGGGGTGGGCAGGCCTGGACCCCTGCACTGCTCTGCCACATGCCCTGGACTTCAGACTGGTGACAGTGACACTTGGTTATGATACATGATGCACGGTTTGTTCTCTCCCATTTGCTTGCTACCAGAAAAAGATAAATGAGCTGGTTTGTTCCGTCACCCTGTCCCTGACCAGTCTCTGCTAAGCTTTCAATTACTGTTTCTTTATTTCTCTCCCCCTTTCCCTTGGTCTCCAGTTTTCGAGGAGGTCTGGATGTCAGCCACGGGCAGACGGGAGCAGAGTCTGTGTACACGGTATTCAGGGACAGGGAGATAATGTTTCACGTCTCTACGAAGCTGCCTTTTACTGAAGGAGACACACAACAAGTAAGAGATGAGCTTTCTGGTGCAGAAGTGGCTGAGCGGGATGTGCCCTCTGAGGCTTTCCCCACCAGGTGTTTTCCCTTCCCGCTTAGCTCCAGAGGAAGAGGCACATTGGCAATGACATCGTGGCAATTATCTTCCAAGAGGAGAACACGCCGTTTGTCCCCGACATGATCGCCTCCAACTTCTTGCACGCCTACATCGTGGTGCAGGTGCAGGACCCTGCGGCAGAGAACGTGGCCTACAAGGTGAGGCCTCTCGGCTGGTGTGGTTGTGATTGCTACAGGTTTGTGCTGCCGGGGGCTGTCCCCCTGCATCCAGGGGAATAATGTCTTTCCTGGCTCCACAGGTGTCTGTCACCGCACGGGAAGATGTCCCCTCCTTTGGCCCACCCCTGCCCAGCCCACCGGTGTTCCAGAAGGTAAGAGCTGTGATGGGAAGCACGTTCCAAGCCATTAAAAAAGTAGATGTGTATGTCCGAGATGTTTCCAAGCACACCTGCTTAGGGAAAACGTGACTTACGGAATTTCTGTGCATTCATTTTGATTTCTAGTGAGGCCCACGGGGTTTATGGTGGGGTGGGCACAGTGCAACCCATGCAATGCTCTGCTGCTGGGGCATCCGTGCCAGTGCAGAGGTGACGGCCGTGCAGGAGGGCACCCCCAGCCCATCTCGGGATTCCACCAGTGCTTGTACATCTGGAGAGGGCTGCAGGGTGTTGTGAGCTCAGGCTTTGGGTTGGTAAAGATTGGGAACCAGTGCTATGCAGTCTTATGATGGTGGGTGTTTTCCACTTTGCTTCTCCCCCAGGGCCCGGAGTTCCGGGAGTTCCTGCTGACCAAGCTCATCAACGCTGAGAATGCCTGCTGCAAGTCTGACAAGTTTGCGAAGCTGGAGGTAACGCTGAGCCTCGGGGAGACCTGCTGTCCTCCCCAGAGCTGCCTTTCCCAGGGCTGCACCAGGGTAGTGCTTGTAGGGAGGAAGGATCAGTGTCTGTTCGTGCCTCAGCTCACTGCAAGGCCATGGGGTCCCATGGCATGGGCAGTGCCCGGGGGGATGAGCTGCTGCCTGCTTTCTCAGCCCCCTGATGAGCCCATTCTTGCCCCCAGGACCGCACCCGGGCTGCCTTGTTGGACAACCTCCATGATGAGCTCCATGGGCACACACAGACCATGCTGGGGCTGGGGCCCGAGGAGGACAAGCTGGAGAATGGGGGTCACGGAGGCTTTCTGGAGTCTTTCAAGGTATCCCCTGGCCCTGGCCAACAGCAGAGTTGAGGCTGGCAAAGCACGTTGTAGTGGCAGAGGTGGATGAGTGGTGCTGGGGAATGAGAGGATCCCCTGAGAGCAGGGCTGTGGGAGGAGGTACCACCACTGCTCAGCCAGCGGGCACCTGAGCAGGTCCCAGGCTGAGCAGGCACAGATAATAAGGTTGTGGTGTTGGCAGGTGCCACAATTAGGGTGACCTCTCTGGACCCCCAGTGCCCCTTTTCCCTGCCAGTGTGCTCCACCATTCACCGTGTCACCAGAGGGGTCTCATTGCAGGGCCAGCACCTTGGCACAGGCTGTGCCTGTGGTTGGGGCTTTGCTGCTGCAGGGCAGGTCCTGCTCCTGTCTCCACACAGTGGTGGCTCTGCTGTGCAGGGGGAGATGCCTGGGGATGGCTGCTGCAGCTGGCAGGTGGGAGGTGGCTGTCTTGTGTGAAATGGGAGACACAATAAGAGGTGCTGGGTGTGGAGAGGGGAACAATTCTGGGGGGCTCAGGGGGGTGTGAGGGCAAAGAAGGGAGAGTGGGTTGGTGGGAAAGGAGGAAGGAGAAAAAGAAATGAGATAAAATGATGCAGACAAAACTGAGCAATGGTTGGAGGTTAGGACAAGACTGGCTGGGGACATCCCCTGGGACAGAGGGACAGCACGTGAGTCTCAGAGATGAGCTGTTGCCAGCAGTTTCTGCTGGGACTCCAATGTGGCAGGGACAGGGAGGTGGCTGGGAATGGCTGGCCCGTGTACAGCTGGGCTGCCCTCACGAGGTGCTGGGGCACTGAGTCCCTGCCGCGGGTGACGCCTCCACTTGCAGCTCCCCCACACCTCTCCCATCCTGCTGCAGACACCTCAGCTCTGCCAGGAAAAGCTGGTTTGAGCTGTCTGCAATGGGAGGGTTGCTGGGTAGGGGTGGTTCTCACCATCCCAGCAGGGGAGCTGTCCTGGCTGTGGTTGTATGGAGACAACTCCTGCAGTTACTGTTTAGGCACAGGTTTATCCACAGTACAGAGAAACAGGCACAGGGAAGGGCTGGCCCGTGTCCAGCTGGGCTGCCCTCACGAGGTGCTGGGGCACTGAGTCCCTGCCGCGGGTGACGCCTCCACTTGCAGCTCCCCCACACCTCTCCCATCCTGCTGCAGACACCTCAGCTCTGCCAGGAAAAGCTGGTTTGAGCTGTCTGCAATGGGAGGGTTGCTGGGTAGGGGTGGTTCTCACCATCCCAGCAGGGGAGCTGTCCTGGCTGTGGTTGTATGGAGACAACTCCTGCAGTTACTGTTTAGGCACAGGTTTATCCACAGTACAGAGAAACAGGCACACTGCTCAGGTGTGTCCTTTTTGGGCAGGAGACATGTAGAAATGGAGATGCTGTGCAGTCCTACATCACAGTGTTCACATCAGGGTGCATCACATTTGGCCCATGTCAGAAAGTGGACTGTGCTCTCCTGGCGTTGCAGGCTGTGCCAGGGCTGGCGGTGGGTTCCGTGCTCCGGGCTGGGCTGGGCTGGCCCAGCCACCTCGGGACCGTCCTGCTGGGCTGTGTCCTGGCCTACATCCTGCACCATGTGCTGTCAGAGTGAGCAGGCAGAGGAGACGGAGGGGTGAGACATCACCACCACCCTGCTGCTCCCCTGTGCACACAGCCTCGCACCTGCTGCCCAGCACCCTCCTCCCGGCCTTGCCGGGCAGGACCACCAGCTCAGGGAAGCGGCGCTGGTGCCTCCAGGCTCTGAGCACGCAGAGGGTGTTTCACCTCCCTGCTGCCAGCAGCTCCCCAGAGGGGTGTTGGAGTCTGTGGCCTCCATGGCCTCAGCAGCCCTGGCAGGACCTCTCCTGTCTGCAGGGCACCAGTGCCCACCAGTGCTGCTGGCAGAGCAAGCAGCCGATTACTGTTATTTGCAAACACTGTCAAATTTTGTATGATTTGCTGGCCCTAATAAATGAGGTCTGACAGACTCCGGCTTGTGTTTGTTCCTGGATGGGCCCGAGGGGACAGCGCGGGGCTGTCGGGGCAGCTGCAGCCCCAGGCACTGGGGCTGGGTCAGAGCTCAGGGCTGCAGCTCCAGCAGCACATCCTGGCACTGTGAGTATGGTGCTGAACACCTCTGGAATCTGGCTCTGGATGGCTTGTTTCCTCCAAAAGGTCTTTACCCTGAGCTGGGATTCAGGGGCTGGAGGAGGGGAGATGTAGCTGTGGCACAATGGGTGGAACAGCAGCAGTTGCAAGGGAAGAACTAGGAAAAGAAACTTCCCTGTAACTGGCATATGGGCTTCACAGTCCGGTTCAGGCTCCTGTTGCTATGGTGACTACAGTAATTAAAATATGGGTACAGAGGATTTTTTTTAACTTGTGCATTTCACTGCTGCTTTTCATAGTCGTGTGCCAGACTTTCAAAAGATCTCGTGGTTGTATTTGTAAGCACTTGGGACAACAACTAAGACAAGACTTTAAAAATAGCTCAGGTCCTGCTGGAGCACCCAAACGAGTGCTGGGATCTGCAGCAGGTCTCTGCTGCAGGATGTGTGGCTCTGCTGGCAACAGCTTGAGGCAAGACAAGTGGCAGCAGCCCTAGCCCTGCAGGTGCCACTGCCACTAACAGAGCTGGTCCTTGGGCTGGCCTGGCAATGGCTGCTCTTACTGGTGGGGTTGCTGGTGGTGTGTGCAGGCTCTTGGGGCAAGGACCAGGCAGATAACACTCCAGGAGGGTCAGTGCCCTGTGGGGTGATGTTGACCTGCTGTCCCTTGTCCCCTCTGGTCACAGAGAGCCATCCGGGTGCGCAGCCACTCCATGGAGACGATGGTGGGCAGCCAGAAGAAGCACCACGGTGGTGGCATCCCCGGCAGCCTCAGCGGGGGCATCGTGCACAACGCTGGTGAGGTGACCAAGACCACCTTCTCGGTGAGTGTGGCCCTATGTCCTGCTGTCCCTCTGTCTCTCCCCAGCCTGGTAGGGCCCTGCACAGGCAGTTGAGTGTATGGGTGAGGAGAAGGTTTGATGTTAGGAGTACATGTTCAGGCTGGGTTTGTTCTGTGGAAGAACCAAAGATTAGCTTCCTAGGGTTTTCAGCCCTAAAGTACAAAAGAGACACAAACGAAAATTCTGGCATTACACGTTTTCTAGTTGCACAGGCTGAGAACTGTGGGCAGTGTAATTCCTTGTAGGGTGTTTAGTCTCGTGAGCTTCTAGGAAGGAGCTCTGCTCTCCAGCCCAGGCTGTTCTGTGCTTTCAGCCCCCTGTTCCAGCAGCTGCCACAAAGAACCAGTCCAGGAGCCCCATCAAGCGCCGTTCGGGGCTGTTCCCCCGCCTGCACACGAGCTCTGAGAGCCAGGTGGAGAGCAGGACAAGGTGGTAAGTTGGACCCCTGGTAACTCAGGTTAAAACCCCTTTTTCATGTTCAACATAAGAGAAAAGCTGTTGGTGGGTGCTTGAGACAACGCCTGGGGCACTCCCTCCCCTTCCCACACAAGCCAGCAATGACAGCTGCTTTTGATGTGTTTGAGGATGATGCTTTGGATCCCTTCCCTCTGTTTTAAATTGAAGCATTGGTATCCAGAGAGCATCTGTACTCTTACAGTTTAGCATTTGGTGTTAGGGAGTATAATCTGACCATCATTCTTAAGTCTCTTGTATAACTTGTGCAACCTGTCCCTTTGTGCCCTCAGTGACAGTGTTTCTGGAGCCCAGAAGACATCAGATGTGGGACATTCTTCTCAAGACATGAAATCTGAAACCTCGTCCAATCCCAGCTCCCCTGAAATATGCCCCAACAAAGACAGGTGAGCTGGCAGGAGACCCCTACTCCTCTGGCTGCAGCTCAAGTCACCCTGTAGCTGACAGACCATCAGGAACTTTGTCAAACAAAACCATCTCCAGGTTTTACTATAAATAAGTTTGATATTAAGGGGTAAAAAAAAAATATTTAAAAAAAATTCTGGTGATTCATGAGCACAGGCCTCAAAATAGGCATCTCTTCCTAGGCCATTCATTAAGCTGAAAGAGAATGGGAGGTCGAACATCTCCCGTTCCTCCTCAAGCACCAGCAGCTTCAGCAGCACAGCAGGGGAAAGCGAGACCCTGGAGGAGTACGACAGTGTGGTAGGCACTTCAGGTGGTCTCTGCACCGCTGGGTCCCCTCCTTGCTGACACTGAGGGGCTTAGTCCTGTCCCTGGGTGAGGGGAGGAGGAGGGTTAGGACACCCCAGTGGTATTGGGCAACACAGGGCACAGAGGGGCCAGCAGGTTGCTCCATCAGGACGGGCTCTCTGGCACTGGGGCTGCGATGAGCAGGGATGGTGTGGGGCAAGCCAGCCAGCCAGAGCAAGCCATGTCCTGCTCTCCTGGTGCAGGGCAGCCAGCCGTCCACCGCCTCGCCCTTCAAGCAGGATGTCTTTGTCTACGGCGCTTCACCAGGCAGCGAGAGCCCGAGCGTGGGGGCTGTGGCCACCCCCGTCATCATGAGCAGGAGCCCCACAGGTGGGTCACAGGAGGCACTGGCGCTCTCTTGGCTTCTGGAGCCCCTGGGATCCCACTACAGTGGGTGGGGATGGAGTCTGGGGCTCTGGGACAAAGGAGCCCCCTCCCCAGCCTTGCCTGGTGGGTGCTGAAGATGATGGGGAGAAGCAGCAGCTGCGCTAGCCCTGCCAGGACCTGTGGGATGTGGGGCCAGCCCTGGCTTCTCCCAAAACCCTGATCCCGATGGGGCTGTTCTGCAGAGACAGCCCCACATGCTTAATTTCTCTATTTCCACGGGGAATTTGTTTCCCTTCTAAATGAGAGTGCAGAGATGGGTTTTGCTGCAGCTTTGTTTCCTCCCTCCTCCCCTGGCAGACATAGGCAGTAGTCCTGGAAACTCGCTGTCTCCAAGGGCCGAGCCATGACTCACAAATTGTTTAATAAACAAGCAGCTTCCCCAGGTCTTGGCTCTGTCACTCCTGCTGCTAACTCCCTCTGCCGCCGACTCCATGCGTTTCAGCCAGACAACTTGTAACATGAGGTGGTGCAATTCAACGGGGGTAAAAGTGCCAGAAATGGACCCTTTGTCGGTGCATCCTGCAGTGAGGGGGCTGGAGGTGTCTGCAGTGCTCGCCCCTCGCCCGCAGGTAGCAGCAGCTGGTGCCCTTGTGCAGCACCACCAACTGCAGACACAGATGCTGAACCTGGAGCTGTTTGTGGAGCAGCCAGGAGGGCACAAACCCACCCTGAGCAGCTCTATGATCAGGAGCAGTGTGGAGGGCTGCAGGGAGCAGGCTGGTTGCCTGGCTTTTCATGTCTCGGCACCCCACAGCCTTACTTCATTAGTGATTTTCTGAACTATTAAACCAGCCCCTTTTAATGTTTTAAGTGTTTATTTTGCATTTTTCCTGCCAAGAATGTGGAAATCCACCCATACATTATACGGATCAGTCATTTCTTGTAGCCTTTTCAGTGGCATTTCCAGTAGAAAGACTCTGAAATGTAATTAAGCCTCAATTTGTTCCATCAAAAACATTTAATGTACAGATTTTGCCAAACATTCAGCCAAGCTAGACTAAATATTGGTAGCACTCATGACAGCCTATTGAAGTGCCTGGCTGTCAGGCACTCAGCCCTAAAAAATTCTGCAAATATTTTTATACGTAGATTATTATTTTTCTTCTTTGTTTTACCCCTCTCTCTAGCAGACATAAAGAACAGAAACTCTCCCAGGTCGAACCTGAAGTTTCGCTTTGACAAGCTCAGCCACAGCAGCTCCAGTGCGGTAGGTGCTGCGGGGTCCAGGGCTCAAGGGGGTGACAGTAAGGGAGGGGCTTTTGTCACTTCCTGCCCCCCTTCTTTGCCACCCAACCCATATCCTGTTTCTTCTTCAGAGCCACTAGCAGGATGAAGAGGTCACGGATGTGTACAAGGTGGGTGTGCATAGCACGGCGCAGGGCAGAAGGGCTGGACTTGGGTGCTCTGAGCAAGGCTGTGTCCTTCAGACACCTGGCGTTGGCTGACTGCTGTTTGTTACTAAATATGTGATCCATAATGTATCTCAAAGCATCCTAAACATAAGAGGAGAGCAGCACTGGGGGTAGAAGAGCAGAGCAGATGTCCTTACCCCTTCCAAAGCCAGGTGAAACCAGTCAATACAGGAGGTGGATTTTATGGGCAGAGGTGAAGGGATTGTGGGGTAACAAGCCTGGCTTTCGGTGGCTGGGGACCTCCCCCCCAGCGTGGCCCCTGCCCCAGCACGGGCTGGTGCTTTCACACAGGACGTGTTGGCAAGAACAAGGAGTTTATTTGCTGGTTTTCTTACAGGCTCCTGAAGTCATTGTTGTGAAATCAGGGGTTTTCTTAGTAATTCTGAACTGAGCAGGAAAGCCCATAAGACTTGGCATAAGAGGAATTTCCATGTCCAGGCAGAGCTCTCAGAAAGCTGTGATTTTCAGCTCCTCACCAAGTTCCCTCCTGCCCCGGCCCGGGGCAGCGGGCAGCTTGCTGTCTCAGGGACAGGCACTGCTGCCACTTTGCCTCCCTCCCTAGGACTGGTGCTTCGTAGCCATCACTGCAGGAGCCCCAAAGTCCTCCCGCAGCTTCCAACACCTTTATCCTTTTCTTCTTTGCAGAAAATTTTTGGTTCAACAAAGGGAAAACTCGTCAACATCCCACTGGAAGCGGCGGGCTGCAGCGCGGTGCCGCTCCCTCCCGCCTGCACCCCGGGAAGCTCCTCTCCCCTCGCTGCCGTCCCCACCCCGACAGGGACCCCTGCCCAGCGGCTGAACCCCACCCTGCAGCCCCCCTCTGCCCGGTGGCAGGACAAGTGTCCCTGGCTGCATGACAGACGTGTGGCCAGAGATCCCATCTCCTCTGCGGCACCGCACTGTATCATCCCTGCTGCTGGTGCTGCCCGTGCCCCCCCGGCTGGGCTGCAGCCCCTCTTGGGCAGGAGGGAGCAGGACGGGCACCCCCGAAGTTCAGGTGCCTCTCTGCTTTATTTGCAGTTATCAGTGGGGAAATGGGTTTTTGTTTTGTTTCTGGAAGGGCAAAATTATGTTTTTGCTTAACCCCGGGGCAGTTCCCTGCCCCATTGTTGGCTGTCACTCTTGTCTGGTGGGGGGCAAAGGCTCCCCCATGCCCCCCAGCAGTACTGCCCAGGGGGCTCTGGGGGCTGCAGCAGCTCCCCAGCTCCCCCCTGCCTGGCCCCTGCAGCTCCCTGCCCACATGACAAAACTGTGAGGGCAGATGCAGCCTCTCACTCCCTCCTTACTCAGTTTCTGGCACAGAGGAGGGCTTGTGAACCAGCCCCGGGGGAGCCAGGCCAGCCACTGGGCCTGACTCATCCTCTTGTGGCAGCTTCAGAAATGGTTTATTTGGCCTCCCTACTTTTCCCTCTCTGAAACACTGAGCACAGGCCTGGAAAGGAGTAACCAAAGCTGAAGCTGTAGTAGATCTAAATACCAGAGCTGGTGCTCAGGGTGGATTCACCTGGTGGCTCTCCTTTTCCCCTGTGGGTTGGATCACCAGGCAAGCAAATGCATCCAACCTTGGGGATCTGCGTGGCATTAGGCTGCTCCAGCCCTTGCAGAATCTCTCCTTCTGCTTTCAAATGTGGTTCTGTTTGTTTTGAAGGATGAAGATTATGAATTCTGCAAGGTGATTCCCCTGTAATGCCCTTTTCAAAAAAATACCTCTCTCAACATGCCAAGAAATCCTTTTGCTCTTTCATGGATCTTTGTCTGAAGTTTCCTGCAGTTTGTCCATGAATTTCACATTGCTCATGGATTTCCCTTGTCAGTTTTCAAAAGCTGCACTGCAGTGCTGCAGAGATGCCCCCCTGACTGACACCTGGGACTGCAAAAGCAGTTCTCTGAGCTCGTGATTCCTAAGCAAAAGCAAACTTTGAGTGCCAAAGCAACCTTGTGCTGTCTGGAGCTGGAGCTGGTTTTGGGCACCCCTTGGCACAGCCCCGGCAGCCACGGGGATCCAGGACCTGCCTGGGACTGCAGAGTGCTCAGTAATGGGAGTGGAACCAGATTAAAGGGGAAAAACTCTTGTGGAAAAGGCAGAGAACAGTTTCACAGGCACTAATTCCCATGTAGGACCAGTAAATACTGATAACCATCAGTGGGGACACTCCTTCCTGCTTTCAGTGAGCTGCATTTGCATAGGAGTTTAAATCTCGAGGTTTCCTTTGGAAGCGGCCAAGCACCATGTGCGCAGCCCGTTCCCTGGCTCGCCCGTCGGTGTCTCAGGTTCCGCTTCTTTTTCTGTTCAGCACTTCTGTCTGATGATGCTTCGGTAGGACTTTCAAACCCAGCCCCAGTCCTTCCTCTTAGAAGCTCTTGTCTGGTTTTCTTATGCCGCACAGTGAAATACTGGCTGGTGCAATGACTTGATTTGAGGGTCTGTTCTTGGTTCTGCTTTTTTCCTCTGAGAAGTTGCTTGATTCTGTAGACGTCGTCAATTGTGTGGGTGTTGATCTCCATGAGATCTTTCAGCAGATGATGCAGTGGCTACTGTCAGCTGGTTTTTTCATTTTTGGGTTTGTCTTTTTTTTTTTTTTTTTACTTAAAACTGTGACTGTCCTTTTTGACCTGGATTGATTTGTAGAATTACTGGAATGGGATTAACAGGCAGGCAGGACAGTGTGGAGCTTCAGGATGCAGTGCTTTGAACTTGTCTTTCCCAGTGCCTACCTAGTGGAATGGCAGTGGTGCCCGGAGCTCAGGTCTGGCAACAGGTTTGCCAGCAGCTCCTGCGTGTGTGGGGACATTTCCAACAGTATCCCCATGGCAGGCTGTGAAACTGGTGCAGCAGCCTTGATAGCAGCTGGGCCTCTACAGCTCCTGTCCTGGCATGGTTCATGCCTGGTGTGCTCCCTTCAGCCCCCAAAGTGTCCCCAAGTGTCCCCTGCCAGTGCTGGGGAGTGACCAGCCATCGTGTTAAACCACGGAGGCTTTTGCACTTCCAGCAGTGGGTGAAGGTGTTCCTGTATATATACTGCAAAATGGTTTGTGCTTGTAAGTGACACACATAGATATATATATACATACATATATAGAAGGGATTTTTATATATAAATATATATAAAAGAAAGGATCCTTAACTGACACTAAAAGGACTGGGCAGTGCATTTTTCTTTCTGATCCCCATAGTTTACCCACACAATTTCCTCCACTCTCAGAAGTGACTTTGCACAGGGAGCAGAAGGGCTCCAAAATGTGGCTGGGGGCGATCGGGGCAGCCCCAGCTTCCTGGGGGGTTGTCTCCTCTGGTGGGGAGTTGCTCCCCTTCTCAACAGGATTCGGGTCCCCTGCTTGCTCCTGCTGCACCTCTTGGTCCTGCTGCTGTTTGGTTTGGACCAGGTCCTGACCCTGGCAAGGGGCAGGTCCATTGGAGCTGGGGAACCCTGCTCCCCTCCACTACCAGCTCCTGCCATGGGCCCTGGGGACAGCAGTTGTGCAGAGCTGGCAGCAGCTGCTGCTCCTCTGGGCTCTTCTTCAGGAAAGCACTTACTGTGTACTTAAATCCTCTAGAAATCCCACAAAGCCAAGCACAGGATTACACTTCAGCACAATGTGAACGTGCTTTTTTTTTTTTTTTTTTTTTTTTTTTTTAGCAAGAAGGGGGATTCCAAGCACAAACTCAGTTTCTTTCCAGAGTTTTGAGGGTCTTCAGGAATGGCAGGTGAAGGGGCCAGGACACACTGCTGGCACAAATGGGCTTGTAAACCTGGGCTGAGGTTTCCCAGCTGCCTTTGGCTTGGCTGCAAGAGGTGCTTAGTGCTGGTAACTGCATCTGGCCAGAGCTCAGCTGGCAGTGTCATTCCCCCATCCTACAGCATGCTTTCATTATGGTTTAATGAATGTAGCACTGCACATATTCTGCAAAGGAAAATGCTGAATTTATATCATTAGAATGTGAAGAGAGTTTATAGAGTGAAAATAAATATTGAAGAAATGTACCTGACAAAGTTTATTTTTTATGTAGAGAGGCGGTGCTTTGTAGTTCCTGGTGGCCTATGTCTGTTGTAAATAATGTACATTTAATTTATTGCTATGGTAGCAGATTGTATTTGTTATGTATAGAACTAAAGGTTCACAAATGTATATTTTGTTGCTTGTGTCTTTGCAAAATTCACAATAAATAACATATTTTGTGTCCATATGTGTACTATGTGGTGTTTGTCCATGAAGCAGCTGAGGTCTTTGGAAACAGGCAGGGATCTTTAGAGCCCTGCAAAAGCCACACGATGGCTGAGCCACCACTGGAGGGAATCTGGGTAAGCTCCCAGAGTCACAGAGTGAGGCAGAGGAGCTCAGAGAGGAAGAAGGTGTAAATCAGGACATCTCTGCCAATGTACCCAGCGCTGGGACTGGATCCACAGAGGAGCCCTGCTTCTCTTTTACAAATGTGTGGCAGTTTTCCTCAAGTGAACTGCTCTGTCGGAACTGGAATTAGTGCCCCATGAATCTCAGTATAAACCAAACCGGGCCCTATCAGCAGCCAGCCCCCGTGTGGTAAAGAAAATGAACAGCAATTCAGCTTATCTAAACCAGCTTAGTTTACTTTGGTTGTCAGTCTGGCATCTTGGCTGCCTTTTGAGCTAACTATGAAATTGGATTTTCTTTCTCCAGCTCCTTAGGCTCCTTTAAAATCCCCCTAATTTCCCAGATCTCTTCCTCCCAGGACACTTAGAAAAAAGCTGGCATTGTTTGGTGGCAGCGTCTCTGGAATGTCTTCCCCAAGCTCAATGAAGCATAAAGCTATTAGTGTTATTTTTTAACATTTCATTATGAGAGGAACTAACCCATTTATTTGTACCTGTGAGAATAAAACACTTACTTTTGCCAGGAGAAAACTTCCACCACGAGGGAGTTCTGTTCACCCTCTGTAGTGCAGCAGCACTTGGGTGCCTGGACCCTGTGGCAACCCCAGCCTGGCACCACAGGGGATGCTCTGGCAGAACTGTCAGCAGCCCTGGCTGCAGGATCCAGAGGGAGATCAGATGGGGCCTGAGGAGCTCAGAGAAGGTCCAGGCAGCTAGGTGGGATATGGCTGCATGGAGTGCAGCAGGAGCTGGGCTGGGGTAGAGGTGAGGGTGAAGGGCTGGGGGCTCCAAGGGGGCCCAGCAGAGATTGGCTGTCCCCAGGGCTGTACTGAGGGTCCCACTGGGGTGACCTGCTGCAGGACAGGCCATGCCAGCAGCTCCCAACCTGCCTGGGACTGGAACAAGCCTTTCCCCAGACTTATGGCCCCCAGCCCTTCCTGATCTGGGCACAGCCACAGGACAAGTTTGGATATGGGGCTGGCTTGGTCAGGAAGGTCACAGTCTAATGCTGTCCAGGAGGCATTTTGGTAACTCCTTCCTTTGGTCCCTGAGCCTCTGCCACATTATTCTTTGTTCTTGGCTCATTTTGAGTGACAGAATACCAGATGTAATGGCTTCTCTGTAACTCTTACTGCAAAAGGAGTTTCAGCAAATCAGCACTTCAAGGAATCCCAGACTGGTTTGGGTTGGAAGGGACCTTAAAGACCATCTAGTTCCAGCATCCCTGCATGGGCAGAGACACCTCCCACTAGACCAGGTTGCTCCAAGCCCCTTCCAAACCAGCCTTGAACACTTCCAGGGTTGGGGCAGATGCAGCTTCTCTGGGCAACCTGGGCCAGTGTCTCACGACCCTCAAAGCAAAGAATTTCTTCCTAATATCCTATGTCAATCTCCCCTTTTTCAGCTTAAAGCTGTTCCCCCTCATCCTATGCCCTAGCAGAAAGTCCCTCCGCAGCTTTCCCGCAGCCCTTCAGGCACTGAAGGTGCTCCAAGGAGCTCTCTCTTCTCCAGGCTGAGCCCAACCCTCTCGGCGTGTCTCCACAGCAGGGGGGCTGCAACCCTCGCGTCATCCTTGTGGCCCTTCCTTCCCATCCCCCCGACTTGCTTTGGAAATCGTTGCAAACCTAGAAGCTGTGAGGGCCCCTGCAGAGGGGACTGAGCACGGCTGGCCGTGCTAACGAGCCCCCCAGGTGCGGCAGATGGAGCCGCGGGGCGGGAAGGGCGGGGGAGCTTCGTGGTCTCAGCGAAGTGCTGCCTCTATGGTGAGTGCTGTGTTTAAATCCACTTGTTTTGCGCGGGATGGGGGCGAGGCCGCGGTGCGCGCTGAGGGGAAGGCGCCGCTGAGGAGCCGCGCAGGAGCTGGGCCGGGCCCCGCGCTCCCCAGCCTGTTCCCGGCCACCGCATCGCCGGCTGCTCGGCCTCACAGTCACCTTCCTGCTGTTTCGAAGGGCTGCAGCTGTGTCTGTGGGTCGGGCAGCACCGGGCCCCGGGGCTCGGCGCCCCACGGGGGCGGGGGAGGGGGCCTTGCTGTCCTGCTCGGACTTGTGACCCTCCTGCACGTCCCACACACCAACTTCTTTCACTTTCTTCATCCAGAACCTGTACGAGTGCAGCTCATGTGCTGGAGTTTGCTTTCCATGCAGACACCACGAGAGAGCTCTGTCTGCTGAAAAGCTAAGATAGGGCTTCATGGGCTTGGCTATGTTAAAGCTTTGGTGATTTAAGCGTTTGCTGCTCGGGCTTTTAGTGGTGATGGTATGGAAGTACATAAACAGAAAACGATTATGTTTTTGAGAAGCTGTTTTCAAGTTACTGGCTTCTGCAATGTATGTATAAT